ATTATAAATCCTAGAACCTACGGCTATTAATAGGGAAGAATGGTTAAGGGATATAATAAATAGAGAATAAGTATTGTACTATACTTACTAATTAGCAGTAATAATAATTAAATTAAATTAATAGTATAAATTTATTATTATTAACTTTACCCTTAAATTTAGTAGCAAAGCTATTTAACAATATATAGTTAATACGAAGAAAGAAAAGAAAAAGAGGAGAATTCGAATATCGGAGGAAAATAATAATGAATTATACTTTCTAATTAAAGCGAAGAGTTCTGTCCTAGTTTAAATTAGAACAGAGGTTATAAGATTCCGGGCTTTTCTCTTTTAGAGAAAAGTATTAAGCGTCTAAACGCCTATCTATACTTATAAATTAAAGAAAGAGATCTTTATTTATATTATTTTAAACTACCTTAATACAGAAGGCTTTTTTAATCAAATATTAAAAACTAGCTATTAACGAAAGAAGAACTTTAGAATTACTTAAACGACGGAGTTAAAAATAAGAGGATTTTATTATAGGCGTTAAAATTAAGTAAATTAAAAAAATACTATTTAGCAATTAAATTAGAGGAGGAGTAGTATAAAGAATTCGCAAAGTACTCTTAAGAAAGGAATAAATTATTAATAATATTAGAATAAAAGAATAAAGGGACGGAGAGGAAACGATTATACTAACTATGAATACTATTTATACTATAGCTATAGTAAAAACCGAAGCACCCTCTATTTAACGCCTAATTACGCCTAAAAGGCTCTTCAAAAAGCTCTATTATACGAATTTAATTTATAATAACGTTATATCGCTACTAAATCTAATTATCATTTATAATAGGGCGGCTAAGGGTATTAATAGTTATAGGGCTACTAGGGGTAGTACTACTACTACTAAGATTAGAGATTGTACGAATAGGAGTAATTATACTACTACTATAAAAATTGAATATAATATTCGTAGGAGTAATTATACTACTATTAAGATTAAAAATAATATAAACTGGATTTATTATACTACTAATATTAAGGCTAGAGGGAGTATAATTATAAAAAATATCCTTGCTATACAATATATAATATCCCTTTTAATTAAAAAATAATAATATTATAATATAAAATATAAGGAAAGTTAATAATATTATTCAGGAGATTGTCTTACACCAAACGACCGTATATATATTTAATAAATAATTAAATAGTACGAACGAAGGCTTTTAATTTCCAACGATATTTAGCTGGGCTATTTGATATTATAATAATAATTACGGATTAAATAACATGACGAACGTTATAAAGACTAATAGGAATATTTAATATATATTTACTAGAGTTAACCTCCCCGCACGCACTAAAAACCTTGAGGTACGCACTTTGTGGGACCTAGCAGCTGACATGAAAAATATGTTCTTTTGGCCGTGATATTCGCGATTTGAAATGTCTCGAGGTGGGTCAACCCAGGTTATGCACTGGAGACCTTGGTCTACAGTAGATAGGTAAGCAAATTTGATAGCGCTAATTTAAAAGCACCAATCTACTCGGTAGTGCAACTGGGTAGTACAACTGGCAATTGGGTAGTTTAATTGGCCGCCGTGTTGAAAGAGCGGGAAAGAAACGACCAACTTAGGGGAATGTTGACGTGTATCAGAAATCCGAAATTTAATGGGTAAAAACGGAAATTTCAATGTCAAGTGTCATCAGCTGAACCGCCCCAGTTTTTGAGTGGAGGTGCGTACCTCAAGGTTTTTGGTGCGTGCGGGGAGGTTAACTCATTTACTAATAGTATAAATAAAAGTTGTAATTTAGAAGTTAGTAATTAAAAATAGAACATTAATTGAAAAAGAAGGGTAAGAAAGAGAAGGATATAGAGTTTATAGGAAGCCGAAATGAAGTAAGTCTTATTAGTAATAATCTTACGAAAAATATTAGGACTAATAGGTTTTCAATTAGATTTCATAACTATAATGGAATTTAAAGTATAATAGAAGTAGGGGATTTTATAAATACTACTATACGGGTTTATATAAGGATTAGGAATAAGAGAAAGGATAAATATACTAATTTTAGGGGATTTAGAGATCCGGATTACTACGAAGGATATAGAAAAATATTATAGGCTATAAATAAACCGGGGCTATAAAATTAAAAAAAACTATAGAGCCCGGAAATACTTCCGGGGAGGAGACTTTAGGGTCGGAAGTAAAATCGATCGGGTTAGGACAATTATAATTAAAGGAAGCTATTTTGAATAATATTATTATAGGGAGGGAAAAAGGTAGGAGGGAATTAGGATGGGACATTATAAGGAGGATTATATAAATAGAAAAGAAGGCCTTTATACTACTATAAGTAAAGGTAGAACCGAAGGTTAGGAAATAAAATAATAGGATAGAAATAAATATAAATAGGAGTAATAAAGCGGAGGGGTAGGGATATAGACGGAAAAATAGGACGGAGAAGTAGGAGGAAAGCGGAGGAAGGGGTAATAAAAATTAAAATGGAAAAGCGGTGAAAGAAGGCGACGTCCTTAATTATATCTTTATTATTCTTATTATTCTAGTATCAGAATAACGCAGCGAAGGAAGAAACGAAATTAATTTACTGTAGTAATAGGTAAGAATTATTATAGTTATAAGTAAAGTAGGAGTGGTGTGGGCAAGTTACGACCGAAATAAAATTGGGGGTTTTTATCCGGTAGCGCTTAACGCCGTATAGTTTTCCCCTCTAGAGAACTGGAGAAGGACCTTATACTAATAAAGCGCTATAGTTATATAGTTAGGGCAAAAGAATATTATTATTATTTATTATATCCTAATAAGGGAATTAGTATAGGATATATTCGGAGAGTAGATTAATAAAAGTAATTTATACATTATTAATATAAGTACTAGAATAGGTAGTAGCCGTCTTTAATAACTAGAGCGGTTTTACCCTCTTTTAGTAATACTTCTATTTTATAGGTATAAGGGAGCCCGTACTAGGATTTGAAGCTATTTGAACAAAGTTTAAGAGGGGTGCTAGGGAGCTTTAATTGCTTGGAGGGTAATATAGTAATAAATTTTTAATATTAACGATTTAAAAGATTAAGTGCCTATACAAATAATCTATATGGGTATTTACCCATCTACTTATAGTTACTCTACTTTATACGTATACGAGAATCAGATTTGGTTATTAGGTCCCCATATATTTTGTAACAGTAGTTAATATACTAGAAATAAATTTTATATACTTTAATCAAACCGCCGCGAGCTGAAGGACTATAGCTCTTAAATAACCTATTATTAACCTCGTTTAATAATATAGTCCACTATCCCTAATTAAAGAAATTCCTGATATAATAACCTACCTACTCCTTTTTGTAGAGTAATAGTAATTCCCTAATCTATACGACAATATCCTCCTGATTAGTAAATTAGTATTATAAAATAAACTAAGCATACTCAAACTCTATTGTATTAGAGGAATAAATTATATACTATTATATAAAGAATAGTACTACCCTTCTATACGCAACCTTAATTAGTAAGGGATCGAGGCCTACCTTAGCATTAATTATTATAAAAACACGGGCGTTGAAGCGTTTCAATTCCTCAAAATCCTCTTTATTACATTAGTCTTATACTTCTAGGCTTGAATTCGACGGCAGGAGCAAGTATACCTAGTCTTCCTTAAGGTAATCAATAATATTATAGTTAATATACTATATACAACGCTATTACTATATAGTAGGGAAGGTCTAATTGATAGCGTTAGTAAATTGGACGTTACTATTAGTAACAACTATTATAGGATAAGGGATTTCGAACTCGTTGGCCGCTTCTTTAATATACTAGGCTAAGAAGGTATACCCCTCCTCCCTCTCGTTATTGAATAGTACTTATAAAATTAGGATAGAAGTCCTTTTAAGCGTAAGAATTATACCCTATATAAGGGGGAAATAGTAGTAGTTGGTCTTATATATTATATTGATTAAAATAGTATAAAGAACATTCTTTATATCCGACGTTAACGGTTAGTAACTTAAAAGGTATAGTATAGTATATTATTATCCCCTTCCTTAAAGTGTTTGTATTTGTATATAAGAATTTTGCTATTGTAATCATCGTATAACTATTTAAAAAATAACTGGGTATTATTATACGCTCCCCTTAACTAACGACGTACGACCTAACGTATATTATTAAGGTCCTTAAAAGTCTAGGGTATCTTAAGATGCTTTTCTTTTATAGTAATAAGGATAATCCTAATTATAAAGTCGTATGATAGGAGAAGGTTACCTAGGAAAGCGTTAGTTTTAGGATTAACTTCATGATTGAATACATTTTGACAAAAAATAATATAGCCTTCTAGTATACGTAACGGAGCGTAGCCTTTGTGCGTTAAATCTATTGCTCGGGCAATCTATTCCTAGCCTGTACTCTTCTTAATTTAAAGTATTACCCTAAACTGATAGTGGCGGGCAATCTTTCGTAATATAGAGCGTCGCTTTAAATTGGGATTCTATACGGAGGGAACGCGGGGGTCGGTATAATTGTAATAATATATAATTTTAATAACCGAACCGTTTTACTCGTACCCTAACTTTTTGAATTCCTAGGTACGCTAGCTTACAATACCAAAGCGATAGCGACGGTAGAAGGAGCCTAGCTCTATAAATAACTTAATCGTCTACCTTTATTAAAAAGAGGGGATTGTTTGTTAGTATAATCTATATTATATTAGGATCGATAGAAGTACTAGAAGTAAAAATATCGATTGAGGAGTCCGATATACAACAAGGGCGCTTGATAGAGGGCATTTAGAGTAATCGGTTAGGTTAGAAATTAATTGAATACGACGATTTTACGTACATTAAGAGTATTAAGGGTATGAAGAGTATAGTATTATAATTGTAGTATACTGGGTGTAGTTAGTGTAATTGCGTGTAGTGTAGAGTGTTGGTGCAAATCATTATACAAATGGCCGTGTGAAAAAGAGCGCAAGAAATTACTATATTATAGGGGATTTCGCGTGCATTTGAAAGACGAAATTTTGCGGGTAAAAACAGGAATTTCAATATCAGATGTCATCAGCTGAACCGCCCCATTTTTCTGGGTGGGGGTGCGTACATGTAGGATTTTGGTGCGTCTCGGGAGGTTTTCCCATATAATAATAGGCAGAAAAGGGGCGGAATAAAAAAGGGGTAGTAAGAGCGTAGGTAGACCCGAAGAATTAAGGCCAATAATATAAGGGGTTTATACAGGTATAGGTCGGATTTATTCGTCTAAAAAAGCACCTTCTCACTATAATTAATAATATTAGGAAGAAAGACTACAATATATAGCATTGCGTAATCTAGACTATGAACCTCGGAAAGCGCTCGACGAAATACATTTAATATTGATTTTATTATTATTAGTAGTATATGAGGTAAACTAATAGCCGTATTAATAGTAGAAATTAGATAGCGGGTTCGTTGCATAGCCATTTCTTTAAATTTGCTAATAATTAAGGGTTACAAATAAGTATCATTTATAAATAAATTAATATCGAGTATTTTATTTTCTTTTATAAGACTAAAGTGAATTTGATTTTCTTAATATAGTAATTTTTAAAATACATTGGGCGTTTGGCAGGTAATAGTATTTATTTATTTTGCTAGGTTAGGATTAGATAGGGTGTAGGCGTTCAGGAGTACGAAATAGATAATACAGATAATGCACTTATATTGTAGGATCTATTTTTCAATATTTCGGCTATTAATAGTCTCTACTATCTTTTTCAACCGTCTATTAAGGTTATTAGTTCAATTTAATAACTTTATAGTCTACCGTCGCTAGCCCGCCTTTTATATACCCAAGGGAAGTTTACGATATTAATTATATGGGGCGGCGGCCCGCGCCGGGCCGAGATTTCGTACCAAAAAGTATACATCGGTTTTAGAGGTAATTGTTAGTGTACTTACTTATGGTATTTCTCCTCCGTCAATACATTTAATAACCCTAGTGGACCATACTCTTCGAAGATATCTATATGATAGATACTTAAATATATATTAGGTCGGAATACCTTCTTTATATATTCCTATACACGCCTAGGGAGTTCGGTAGCTTCGGTAGCTACTTCGGCGATTAGAGTAATATCGTCTTACATTTCCAAATCATTAACTATATTATCGATCGTAATAATATCTAGCGCCGACCATTAAGATTGAGAGGCATACCCAACTAATATAAATAACCGTTTAAATAATACTTAAAAAAGTAAGTCTATTACTCGAACCCTGTTTTTAAACGTATTTGTCAAAGAACTTTTAATTATACCCTCTACTACAATATAATACATCATCCTATACAATTACTGACTATGAATAATATATTAATTTATATTATTATATATTGAAGTAGTATTTCTAATATTTTTTAACACCGAATTACTAATGGCTATAGTTACTAGCGCTCTAGGCACTAAACTAACTAATAATTTGTTAGATAGATTTTCGTAATTACTATACTATACTAGTATATCCTTCTAGGCATCCTATACATATGGGTTAATATAGTCCTTTTTAAACTAAGCTTTAAAAAGTATAGGTGTTATAATAGATTATCGACCGTGGTAAATCAATTTATAACTTTTAAAGTATAAAATTAGTAATAGTAGTACTAGCCAACCTAGGGGAAATAACTATACTTGCAAGATTCGACTATATTCCAGTACGGCTCTTAGTATTAAAAAAGCACTAATAAACATTTCGTAGATATAAGTAACTATACCTAAGTAGATAAAATAAGTTAGCCTAATTATATAGTAGATAGCCTCGATATATATAATTGAATTTACCCTTGAATTCGGAATATACTAGATTGGGTACTCTAATTATAATAATATCGAAGGATAGCGTTAAGTCGAATAATGCCGGGCGATTTTCGCTAACTCCCCATTGAATACAGTACGCCTTTTTATCCCCTTTTTTGCGAATATTAACTTTAATCTCGTATTTTATTTACAAATATTAGTAATAGAATCGGTTTATATATAAACTATATTTATTTACGACCTCCTATTTATTAATTACGTAGTTTAGTCCAATAAAACAAAAGCGATAGAATTTTAGACTAATAGGGCCAGTAGTACCTAAATTCTTATTTTATTAAGGTATATCCCTAGTATAATATATGGTAAATACTAATACGATTATTGGCTTGCTGTAGATTTCTATTATTATACCCTTTTCCAATAGTATTAGATATCCGATAGTATTAATTACGGTATCGAAATTGGCTATATAGGGCCTAAGAACTATAGGGAAAATATTGGTATTTTTAACTCGTTTACCGCCGTTATACGATAGACGTGCCGGCGATTAGTATGTGCCTATAATTAAACGGCGTATATTATAATAAATATTGAATCTACTAATAAATATAAGTACCGGGTAGTTCAAGGCATTAATCCCTGGATTATTAACTCTATTCTAATATTATTCGAAGATTTCCCGCCTGTAGATTTCAAGCTCAAAATAAATTCGAAGTAGTGTAGTATATACTAATAGTATAATCTGTCTATTATACGGTAGCCGTTTGGGAACCTTCTATAAAGTACATCTAATTAAGAAGGGTCTTTCTACTATTGGGTTATTAAGAATAGTACTATATTTATAAAATAATTTTCGAGGCTTCTTTAATATTTTTAACGGCAAGTCGACCGGCGGGCTTGAATTATCTAACGCATCCCTATTAAAGTAGTTTATATAAACTTATCACAAGGTTAACCTGTGTGCCTTGTGCCTGGTGCCAGCGTATAGCAGCTTCTAAGACTACTGTATACTATTATTACTACCCGCTATTATTATTACCGGCAGCTAATTGGTTAGAGCGCTACCTACCGCGGATCTATAGACCCGCTAATAACCGCCCTCATAAAGCCAGCCTTCCGGGCACTCGGCTATACACTTCTCTTCCTTTCTCCTTCGTACAATTACGCATATTCACATCTACTTTCTACCTTTTGCCTATAATAGTTAATTACACCTTTTAACTATTATATTTACCACGTAAACCTATTCTCTTTTTATTACGCAACTAATTTTTAGTTAGTATATATATAGGAATCGCCTTACCCGTCGAATCGCCGAATCTAATACCCCAAACATCGACAATCGTAGTTATAATAATTATAATCTTACTCCCTTTATTTAGTGAATAAGGGTAGGCACTTTTTATTTAAGTAATAAGAAGCCGCCTTGCACAATTACCTTTTTTATATTTTGCGCCGAGAGTAGCAACTACGCGTCCTTCTCTCCCGCTAGGTGTACTAACGATTCTTTTAATCTTAGTACCCCTCCTAGGAGTATCCCGTTTAATTTAAATAATATTTCCGAAGTATTCAATAAAGTTGTTAATACTACCAACGTTACTGTTTATTAAATTACAATTATTGAACTACTTCCCTCCCTAGTAATTAATAATCTCCTTATTAGTATTAATAATAATAAAGAGGAGAAGGCTATCCCTCGCGCCCACCTCAATATGTTTAATATTCTTACTTAAAACCCCGCCTTCCACTCGATCATCGCCCCACTCAATCGCCTTTCCTATAACAACCTCGCTCAATACAAGGATATTGCTATTGACCTTAAACGTAATAAGAACGAATTAAAAATTATCCGTAAGGTAGCTACTAAAGCCTAAAATAACTTCGATTAAAAGAACTTGAATTATTTTAACATAAAGGCCGAATTTAATAACCTCTAGAAGAAATATAATAACCTCAACGTAAATTATACCGCCTTTAAGTCTTATAGTACCAATATTCAGTCCCTACTCAATAACTATACTAAAATAATTAGTATTAGTACTAGTAAAATATTATCTTTAAGGTAGATTGTAGAAAACCCGCCGATTCTTACTGGTAAGAAGAACGTTAACGCTACTTGTAGATATAAATATCTTTCAAGTATAGTATTTCTATATTCTATCATAATAGAAGTATAACCCCCTCCCTTATATTAATAAGGATATCAAAATCATTCGTACTACTATACTACTACTGTCCTAAGATCTTATGCGGTATTTAAGATAATTTAAATATTATTCAAAACGGAAGAAAAATAGATTGATAATATTAGAAAACCGGTACTGGATTTATAAAATATTTAATTATTCGCTTCCAGAACATTAATCTAAAGATAGATGCCGGCTATCGCTTCGAAGTGTTCTTTATAAAGAATATATCTTTTGCGGGGTTTGAGTTGGAGTTTACTAAGTTTATAAACCTCTCCAGCCTCAATAATTCTATAAAGGTCTACTACTTATACAATAAGAGTAATAAGCGCCTCCGTAATGCCCTTGTGTATTACAACCTTCCCAAGGCCAACGACTTTAAGAAGTAGTTCGCAATCTACCGTACTATCGCCGGTAATTTAGAGGATACCGACTACTACTATAAAAAATATTCGTCTTCTTAGCAACAGCGCCCCCGCCGCCGGTAAAAACTCTAGCAACACCAATACTAATACGAACAGCGCCTCCAACTCCTATAATAGTAACAATATCCTATTTAACCAAAGTAGTAATAAAATAGACCTTAATACTATTAACCTTACTATCTTTATCCATAAAAAGGTCCTTAGCCAACGCACCTATAATAATAAATACTATTATTATGGCAACAATAACTATATTATTCGTAATTATTATACCTCTATTAATTATAGTGCCTAAAGCCCCTAATATAATAAAAGCAAAAAGAATAAGAGTAAAGGCCGGGGTAAAGGCTACCGCAATAAAGAGGAAGTCCGCAATACCGAAGCTATATTTACTACTACTTCTACTACTCCCGCTATAACCTCCGCTACTACCACTACCGCTAATAGAGAATACTACAATAAGCCGGAAAATACTTAACTTTTGTACCCAATTGCGCATAAAAGCCTTTTCAATTATTATTGTAGAAACAAATTTTAAACTCCCCGAAATTAAAGGGTTTAGAGGAGGTTAGAATGCAATCGTTAAATAGTTCTACTTCCCTAAATTTAATATTCTTATTATTTTATATTATAATTAAATCGCATAAAAATTATTATATTTCCCTTATTAATACCGGCTACTCCATATTTACTTTTATCAATCGCTCTTTCACTATTAAATATAACTTTCCCTATTTTCGCCTCCGCTACGCAAAGAAGTTTATCTTCGCCAACAGAGTAATTAAAAGTATTGTTTCCGAAGGAGTAATAGCCAAACTCTATATCGAGCATTATAAAAAAATAATTACCTTCCTAGTCTATAATATCTCGAAGAAATATTCGATTATTCTAAAATTCCCGTAGATACAATACTACAAATCCGAAATTAATTACGACTAATATAGAATATATTTTACTAACCCCGTCCATAAAGGCCGCTACCTACCTACCGACTTTTCTAAAAACTAATTAATAGCCCTAAGAACCCTTATCAACCGGGTTTTAATTGCGGCTATCCGTAGCAGGGCTACTCCAATTCCTTAACCCGCCCCATAAAATTGAATTACTCCCCCTACTAAAGTAATTTCAATGCTACTAGTACCGGTACTACGTAATAAAACTGCTAGTCCTACTAAAACAACCCTAATATAACTAACATTAATATTAAATAATAGAATTACTAATTTTATTCAAATAGTACCGGTACTACTAATTCCCGTAGTAAGAATTCTTAAGACCGGTTACCGACCTATTTCCGCCCCCATTAAAATACTAATAACTAATAGGGCCGGGTCTAAAATTAATATTTTAAGTATAATCGCACTTCTTATTAAAACTAAGAACCTAGTATCCTACAGCCCTCATATCCGCTTCAATAGATAACGCATTTCTACAAATATAAAACACCCCTAAACCCACTATTACCGTAACTTCAATGATACCTTTTCTATTAAATCCAATAATATTAGAATATTTAACGTAGTAATTTTTGATTTGGTCTATAAATCCTAACAATTATAACCGTATACTACAAGCTATACCGAAATTGAAAGGTTAATTACCGTAACAGAAATCCAAGATATAAACTTAACCGAGGAGATAATCGCCAATATTTTAAAGGGTAATAGTCAATAGTATAAGAAAAATCTCCCCCCACTCCTCTATAAATTTATTAACAACTTAACTAGCGCTTACATATTGAGTGAATTTTAGAATACTATAATTCTCGCCAAAACAATTTACCTCACCGGAAACCTCAATAAAAACGCCCTACTTTATAAAGAAATAATCTAGCGTATATACCTAACCAAAATTGCTAGTAAAGATATAAAGAAATTCCTTGATAAGCCCGACGATCTAATTAAAAATAAAGGACGAGATTATTGCTATCTTAAAGAAGTCGGAGGGATAACAATATATCAACGAGGTAGCAACTTTCCTCCCGTCGTTAATTAAAGAAATTCCGCCCAACCATTTATACGACTACAAAATCAAACTCCAGCCGGGAAGAACCCCCCCCAACGCGCGACCATACTATATATCCCCAATCGAAACTATTATTATTAAATAGTAGATTAGTAAAAATTTAAGGAAGAATTTCATCCGCCTATTGCAATCTATAGCTGTATCCTCTATCCTTTAAATAAAAAAGCCCGGTAGTAGCGTTTATATTTATATTAATTGCTATAATATAAATAATATAACACTAAAAACGTATTACCTACTACTATCAATTAAAGAGACCTTCAAATCTATTTACCGTATAAAGATTTTTACTAAGCTTAACGTAATCGCTATATTCAATAGGATCCGTATAAAGGAAGGATATAGATAGTTTACTACTTTTATTACCCGTTTCGGTCTCTACGAATCTATCATCTACCTATTCGGCCTCTAAAGCACCCTAAGAACCTTCTAGAATCATATTAATAACGTTCTATACAATATCCTTAACGTATATATAATAATATATTTTAATAATATTCTAATCTATTTAAATAACAAAGAAAATTATAAAAGCCATATTAAGGAGGTCCTATAATAAATGATTTGAGTAGGGCTATAAATTAGTATCAATAAATACGAATTCATATTATAAAAACAAAATATCTTCATCTAATTATTACCCCGGGAGGGCTCGAAATAGATTCCAACAAAGTATCCGCTATCAAAACCCAGGAAGCTCCAAAAACTAAAAAAAGCACTGTAACGTTTCCTAAACTTCGCTAACTTCTACTGACAATTTATTAAACATTTCTCAATTATTGCTAATCCATTGTACGAATTAATAAAAAGATCGGCTGAGTAATAAATAGACCGACTACTACCAAAGATCGTTTAAAATTTTTAAAAAGGCTTTCAATAGCAACCTAATACTTCGAATCTATAACTAATTTAAATAGACCGTCGTCGAAATAAATATCTCTAATTAGACTTATAGTAGTATTCTATCTTAGTACAACGAGAAAGGAATTTTATACCCGGTTACTTATTTCAGCCAGAGGTATTCTTCGGCTGAATACAATTATAATATTTATAATAAAGAATTATTAAGAGTAAACCTCGGCGCACCCACCCTATAACCTACGCGCACCCAAAAGCCAGGAAATGTGGGACCGTGCAGCTGATGACACCTGACATTGTAAATACCGTTTTTGCCAGCGAAATTTCGTCTTTTGAATGCACACAACATTCCCTCCAATTTGGTCATTTTCGCGCTTTTTCACACAACCATTTACACCCCATTCAGACCGCCAGCTAATTGCACGTTGCATACCACACCACCTCAATACATCACCCTCAACGTATATAATCTCGTTCAAATCAATCGATTTTAATTGTATGCAAATAGCATTAGGGTGACTGGGGGTTACAGAATCACTTGGGGTTTTATATAGTTGTGACCCTATTGGCAAATCTGACCAAGGTAGCAGACATCTAAAACGAGCAAAAACACGGCTAAAATACGATAATTTCCATAACAGTTGCAAATGGGGTTTTTGGGTGGGCGTAGGTTTTGGGGAGGGTGCGCCGAGGTTTACTCATTATTAACTAATATCAAAGCCTTCGAAGAATAGCGCCCCGAATTAGAAGGAACTCAAAAACCTTTTAAAGTCCTTACTAACTACAAAAATTTAAAGACCTTCATAATAAATGAATAATTCAACCCCCAATATATACAATAGTTTCAATTTCTCTCTCGTTTTGTCTTTACTATTAAATATCGCCCTAGATTGTTATAGGTACACCCCGACGTACTAAGTAGGAAACTAAAAAACTTATCTAAAAATAAGGCCGACGAGCGGCTACTAACTAGGAATGAAATTTGACTCGACTATAACATCTTCTTTAACGGAATTTTCATTCTAAAGGACAAAAGTAAGGAAATCCATATCAATACCGAATATATTTTCACATAAAAAATTCTAAACACAAAATTAATGGTCAATTTAATAGCTAAAGGCTATATAAAATCGATTATCCTCCAAAACGTTATTGCCTACCTATTGGTCCCTAATTGTTAAATATAGTCCAAAGAAGTTACAAATTATATAAAGAAAATTCCCTTTACTAAATACCGAACAATCTAAAGACGAATATACTTCCATAGTACTATCTTCGTCGACCCTACTAATATAAAACTTTACCTTCTATTCCTCCGCCGAATCTACAATTCGCCGTCGGCCGGACATCCAAGCTACGAAAAGACCTATTTATTATTATCATAATCCTTGTTTAGCTAGGGATATATACTACTATGAAATCCTATTACAAAGCTTGCCTAATATACACCAAATCCAAACCATCGCAATACGCCCCCCATAATTTCTTAAAACCGCTAGCAATACTATTTTCACTATAGAAAGATATTTCGATGGATTACATTACACTACTAACCCCTTATATATACTATAGATAGGAATTTAAATATATTACTATTATTATCGACCGCCTTACTAAAATAAGGTACTATATTCTTCCTATCGGCCTAATAGTAAAAGAATTAGTAGAACGCTTTATTAAAAAGGTCTAGAATATTTATAATCCACTAGACTCTATTATCTCCAACCGTAGTACCTAAATCATCTTACAATTCTAAAGAGCCTTATCATTACAATTAGAAGTCACCCTTAAACCCTCCTCCGCTTTCCACCTTACTATTAATAATTAAACAGAATACATTAATACAAAAATACAGAAGTCCCTTCGTCTCTACATTAACTAGACTTAAAATAATTAAATAAATAAACTACCAATCGTAAGATTTACTAATAACGATCTAATATCCAGAACTATAAATATTTCCCCCTTCTTTATCAATTATAATTTCTACCCACGTATATACATCGAACTAACGAAGCTATTCCCGCCTAAAATATCAGCAATACAATAAATAAAGCACTTCAAAACTAATAAATAAGCCGACTAATTTGGGAAAATCTTAAACTTTATTACCAATCAAACCCGATAAATATAATAATATTATAGAAATCATACCAATAATCAGTAATCGAACGCCCTAAAATATAAAGTAAGAGATAAAATTCTTTTTAATACCGAAAACCTCAATACGGGCCGACCTTACGCCAAATTTACACCCCTTTTCGAAGGACCTTTTAAAATCCTTAAAGTAGATAATTATTTGGTAACGCTCAAACGTCTAATTAATATAAAATATAATCCGTTATTCTATATCAATAAAATCAAACTATGGGATAAGGAGGGTCTCCTAAGACAAACGGCCGTAGAGGAATAGGATATTCGTACCAACTATAATTATACTATTAAGATGACCAATAATTAAAAGGATTTTGTTAATACAAATTCAAACAAATCAATAAATACTAGAAGAATAATAAGGATTATTAAGAATACCTTATAGTCTAGGCACCCCTACATACGCCGTTATACTAGCTACGCGCTAATATATCCATAGCTTCCGATATTATACGGGTTTTCTATAATGGTTACCCCGATGTGCTGTATCCCCCGGATTAAATAGTGGCGGAGAAGAGGTAAAAGTAACTGGAAACGGAAGGAAATTATAGAGGGGAGAAGGAAGCAGAGCGGGAAACTCTAGTTCCGCAGCGGAAGTTACAATAGTACCCACTAGCAACGGCAGTAAAAGCTTTTTAAAAACGGACCACTCGGTTAATAGGGATTTCTATCATTTTATATAATATTAATTAATTATATAGCTTCTTTTAGTCCGGGGAAGTATTATAGGGTTAGCCTATATACTTTATACCTAGTATTAGTATATAGTAGTTTCTAAAACTACCGTATACTATTATTATTACCGGCTATTATTATTACCGGTAGCTAATTGGTTAGAGCGCTGCCTGCCGCGGATCTATAGACCCGCTGGCGGCCGCTCTTATAAGGCTAGGCTTCCGGGCACTCGGCTACACACTTCTCTTCCTTTCTCCTTCGTACAATTACGTATATTCACATCTACCATCTACCCTTTGCCCGTAATAAAACTAGTACAAATAAATCGGCCAAGTATTGTAGTAACTACTATTCTTTATCCATACGAAGCACTAATTTATTACTTTTAAATTTTATACCCTTATTAGCCTGTACTCTAATACCTAATCTATGGAATTCGTTATTGACTTTATTAATAGGTAAATACTCCTGAATAATAATAGTAATTTCGCTTTAGTAATCTACGTAATTTATGATATAATTCTTACCTACAATTTTAATACAGCCAATATACAATATACGCTCGTTATTACCCTTTAGTAGATAATATAAACAACTATTACAATTACTATCAATATATTAAAAATAAATGAAACTAAAGGTAATATAGCTTTCTTAATATAATTAAAATCGCTAGTACTTATAAAGTAGGCGTACTCCCCAAAAGTAGTTCGTATAGAGTTAGACTAATATAGAATATAGTATAATTCAATAGGGTTATCTATTAAATAAACTATACCTTTATATATACTCATAATAGTATTGGAATTTAGAAGGCTTAAAAAAGGGAATATAAGTCTATAAAAAACAGTAAGGTTATTATTATTAATAGGTCGGCATCCGAGTCCGCATTTGATCCGTCTTATATAGCCTATTCCTATTATTTCTTTTAAGCGGCCAATTTAATCTTAAACTTCTCAACTTATAGAAGGATATTAGCGACGCACATATCGAGCAACGGTAGTCTAGTCTTAATATAACCTTTGAATGTACGTAATTATCTTAGAAATTACTAAAGTATTAATATAAATTTACCATCTTAGCCGCATAACGAATTTAATAAGTATTATAAAATTATATAATCCGTACCCTTTATATAATTAATATAGGTATTAAAATCAAACCCCATATAGAAATTAAACAACTCGATCAATTCATTATAATAGTAATAAATTAACTTTAATATATCAATAATATTTCCAGTAGTAGAAGCAACTCTTGGGATAGGCTCAACTATTTAATATAGTAGTACTTCCTAATCGTCTATCTACCCTTCGATAATATCATCCTCGTCCACGAACTCTTCGTCGAAACCGACGGTTTCGGGTTCCTAATTATTACATTCACTATATTCTAGGTCTAACCGAAATTATTCTTTATTAAACCCCATAAGAAGCACTTCATTATAATCAATACTATAATCAATATTATCCATTATCAAACCCTCCAATCTTCCTCAGAGTATAGCATTTCAATCGATAGCGCCCACATTTAAATTAATAATTAGTTTCAATTCAGATAATACCGAAGGTAACTTACCCGTCTCATCCTTATCGTCATTATAGTCTTCATTACTATTATAATCTTCACTAATTAATAGGTCTAATATAAACGTATTATTATTACTATTAAATAGTAGGGTGAAATCAATACTCTATAATTTCTAGCAGTATCATTATAATAGTGGTAATAATTAGGAATATGTACGGGTTCCGGCCTCAATAATAGTACCCTGCAATTATTATAGCCAATTCCAAAATATATCTTATTAAGGACTAGGGGTACTTATTAGGGTATTATTTTAAGTATACGAGCAATTGCCATTTTGCGCTGGCCCGTCTAGTAAAAAAACGTATTAAAGAGCCGTTAACTATAAGATAGAGAATTGGATATAAGAGGAAGGGATATTGAAAGGAGGGTTAGGTATAAAAGGGAGAGAGACATAGTAATATTTTATAAATTGAATTAATACCGGTCGAAAATATTTACCTATTCATAAGACCGTCCGTCCTATTTATAAAAGCAAATATTCTACCGATAAGTAAGTAGGTCACTTATTGGGTCAATCGTTATTCGAATATAATTTCCCTAATATATAATATTATCCTATCTGAAAATATTATATAGTAGAAGTAAGAGCGATAAAGGGGTATGTAGTTTACCCCTTATATAAAAATATTTGAATAGTTATAGTACTTTCCGCTAGATTAGAATAGAAAGATCTCGAGTAAATCTTAATCATTTTAGAGATTTATTTATCTTATATAAAACTTTTAGAATTTTACTCTCTTCTATGGTACTTCTATATACTTCTAACGTTCTACTTTATTCATATATAAGGGTAGCCCCAATGTTATTAATTGTAAGGCGCTATTCCCCTACTAAGACCGTATTTAATATCGTCTTCCGGGTAGCCCGGCAGAACCTACTGAAGCGCAGCTGTTATTTAGGTCTAGAGTTGGATTACTCTAAGTAAATTTCAAAATTTGGCGGTCTAGTGTGCGTGCAATACTGGATTACTCTAAGTAAAAGCCCAATGTTTTGGCGGTCTAGTATAAGTGTAATGCTGGATTATTCTAAGTAAATTGCAGAATTTGGCGGCCTATTGCGAGTACAATACTGGATTATTCTAAGTAAAAGCCCAACATTTTGGCGGCCTATTGCGAGTGCAATACTAGATTCGTCTAAGTTATTATTTAAAAAGAAATTAAAAAACAAAAATTAGAGGTTAGGACTTATAGAACAAACCCTACCCTAATACTTTATAGAAGCCGAACCTGAGGCTTTCCGTCCATAGTACCCGAGGGATAGCCTAAGATTTATATACGCTTTAATCTTATACTAATACGAGTATTATTAGCGATTCTATTCAGAATTCAACTATATACTAATACTATTTAGACTTTTATAAGTAATTTACCCCTAATATAATTTAATTGGATAGTTAACCTCCGCTTACTTCCTTATCGGTTTAGTTTTATAATTTTAAGTCTTATAGTATAATATAGTACGGCGCTTTATCTTAGGTTATATAACTATCTTATTTTAGGGTACGATTAATCGGTCGGTTGGTCGGTCGGTCGGTCGGGTTACTCTATAATTAAATTAGTAGGGTTATTAAATCGAAAAGTCGGTAGTATTCGAGTTGGTAGTTTTTGGTTTTTTATTTATTTATTTAGATGCGAGTTTAGAGGGTCGAAGAGCGGTTTAGAGAGTCGAATATTAAGTTTAGGGAATCGAGGATTTCTAGGAAGGGAGGCTAATCCGGACCGGTCTTATAGGTAGAAGTATAGTTCACCCCCACCTAAACTATAGAATTATTATAGCTAGTCGTTACCTAAGATTAGTAATAGAACTTACGGGAATATAGTTTATATTATAAAGCTTATCATAGAATGGTAATAATAAATAGAATAGTAATACTAGATGTAGTATCGAGAAGTAAATAAGAGTAATAATATTAGAAATAGTATTGAAATGTAAATAAAAGTAGTAATATTAGGGATAATATTATAAATAATATCAAGAAATAAGTAAGAGTAGTTATATTAGAAATAGTATTGTAATGTTAAAGAGAGTATCGCGAAATAAATAATAGTAATAATATTAAAAATAATATTGAGATATAAATAAAAGTAGTAATACTAGAAGTAGTATTAACATCGTCTTCCGGGTAGCCCGGCAGAATTTACTGAAGCGCAGCTGTTAGAGGTCTAGAGCTGGATTACTCTAAGTAAATTTCAAAATTTGGCGGCCTACTACGAGTGCAATGCTGGATTACTCTAAGTAAATTTCAAAATTTGGCGGTCTAGTATAAGTGCAATGCTGGAGTACTCTAAGTAAATACTAAAATTTAGCGGCCTACTGCGGGTGCAATGTTGGATTACTCTAAGTAATCACCTAATATTTTGGCGGCCTACTGCGGGTGCAATACTAGATTCGTTTAAGTTGTTAAAAAAAAAAAAAAATAAAAAATGGAGGTTAGGACTTATAGAGTAGACCCTACCCTAATGCCTCATAGAAGCCGAACTAGAGGCTTTCCGTCTATAGCACCCGAGAAATAGCCTAAGACTTATATACGCTTTAATCTCACGCTAATACGAATATTACTGGCGATTCTATTTGGAATTCGGCTATATACTAATAGTACTTGGACTTTTATAGGTAGTTTACCCCCAATATAATTTAATTAGATAGTTATCCTCCGCTTACTTCCTTATCGGCTTAGTCTTACAATCTTAAATCTTATAGTACGGTATGGTACAGCGCTTTATCTTAAGTTACGCGGCTATTTTATCTTAGGATTCGATTAGTCGGTCGATTGGTCGGTCGGTCGGGTTACTCTACAGTTAAATTAGTAGGGTTATTAAATCTAAGTCTAGAAATAGTATTCGAATTAATAGTTTTTTGTTTTTTTTTTCTATTTAATTAGATACGAGTCTAAAGGGTCGAAGGGCGGTCTAGAAAATCGAATATCGAGTCTAGGGAATCGAGGATTTCGAGGAAGGGAGGCCAATCCGGACCGGTCCTATAGGTAGAGGTATAGTTCACCCCTACCTAGATTATAGAATTATTATAGCTAATCGTTACCTAGGACCGGTAATAGAATTTACGGGAGTATAATTTATATAATAGAATTTACAGTTATAGCTACGGTGAGAGAGTAAGAAAGAATAAGCGGAGATAGCATTGCGAATAGTATTAAAATATAAGTAAGAGTAGTAATATTAGAAATAATATTGAGATATAAATATAAGTAGTATTAAAAAACGAATAAGAGTAATAATATTGTAAATAGTATTACGAGTAGTATTGAGAAATAAATAAGGGTAGCAATATTAGAAATAGTATTATAATATTATAGATGGTATTGAAATGTGAATAAAAGTAGTAAAGTTAGAAGTAGTATTGAGATAATTATTCTATTCTATCCTATACTTATAATATTTATACTATTTACTATCTAGACTTTCTATATATACTATTCACTATCCAAACTTTCTATTAATCTACTTATTATATATTTATTATTATCCATACTTTCGCCTACTATTAACAATCTACTACTAGCGCTAGTATATTAATTATATTCGAGGACGACAATTTGGAACTCGAAAAGCATTTAAAGGATATATTAAAGGAAGAGGAAGAGCGCCGCGACCTGGTCGTTCTAAAGCAACAACGGCTTGTAATTAGTTGGGTTAGTATTGAAATAGCTATACTAAATAAAAATAAACTTATTTACGAAAAGAAAATTTTTTTTGTAAATCTCTTTAATCTCCCTATTCGCTCGAAGTAATATACTAAACTACGTACTTCTAAAAATATACCGACTAATAAAGCTTTAAAGATAAAGAAGTAACCTACTTCTACTCAATTCCCGCTAGTAATACATCTATTAAAATCTTTAAATTATTTAGAATCAATATAAATAGCCGACATAGGATAATTAAGTATCCAGGCGGTTAATTGTGAATAAAGGTATAGAAGTTAAGAAGTATATAATTATATATAGTATTAGGGTTTATTTATAATATAAATTAAAATATATAAACGGGTTGAGAGTAAGATAGTAAATATTAATATTTATACCCAATGGCAAAAAAAAAAATGAAAAATAAAGATAGGGTATTATCGATATACTAATAATTAAATGAACATCCTTATTTTTATTATTATCATCCTCCTTATCCTCCTTAGAGAAGTCGGTTAGGCTATTTGAACGAATAAGGGCCGAAAGGCTAAGGAACTTTCAAATTGCTAATAATAGTAATATTTAATTCCTTCTTCTTCTTCTCCTACTCCTAGAACTACTTTAGTACTTTAAAGTAGTATTTTATATCCTTCTCTAGTATAGTAAAACGAATTTCGACGACGGACTAGCTAGGGTAGCTAGCCGGGGCGGAAATAAGGAGGGCCGGAGGGATAGTATAACCGGCGAAGGGGGGAGGGGGGTAGGAAGAGAGTAGCTAGGAGGGAGGTTTTCCTAGCGGGCGAAGGCCGGGGCCGAAGGGGCGAGGGCCGGGGGGCGAAGGCTGGGGGGGTAGTAAAAATCTCGAAAGCCGGAAGGACGGGGCTAGGGATAAGAGAAGTAGGGCGACGAACTTTACTATTATAGATATAAAGAACAATAAGAATCTTACGCCCGAAGGTAAAGTCGATAGAGCTACTATAGTATTATATAAACTATTATTATTAGAAAGAAAACGTAAAAAAGGAAAGAAAAAAAAGAACCAAAAAAAAAAAAAACTTATAGGAGGATAACGCTAACCTTTTCCAAGCGAACTATAGGGCCAATAGCATCGAAAATATTATTATAGTACTTATATATAGCACTATCGTTATTAATATCTCTGATTTCCTATAGCGCTTAATATACTACATATATCTTAGAACGTCCAAGGTCGTCATTAACCCTCTTTTAAATATAAATATAGTACTTCTTTCCTCTACCCGTCTTAGGTTTGATATAATAGTACCTATTCTATATATTATATTAATATAGAGCATTATACGGATAACTATATAAAAGGCTACAATTATAGCTATTATCCTCGTCTTTATTATTATTATCCTAGTAAATATAATAATAAATATTATAATTAGATAGGAAAGGAAAAGAAAAGAAAAGAAAACTTACAATCTTCCTCTTCTTTATAAAGGGGGGAATAACTATAAACTCCTCGGCCTTCTCCTTCTCTAGTAATTTAGTATAGTAGGGGAGGAATTTACTAATAGAATATTAGAATAATTAAGACGGGTAATTAAGGGTAGCGGCCGGAATATTAGGGGAAATATCCTTATAATAGTAGTAGCGGTTAGTAGGTATAATAAATTTAGAAGGGCGGGTAAGGGTTTTAGGGGCGGGCAGTTAGGTTGAGCTAAGTATAAACTTAGAAGTAATAGGGAGAGATATATTAGAAGATATTATATTTATATAACGATTATTAATTAGGCTAGTAAAACGAAAGGGAATAAATAGGTATAATATTAGTAATTACTTATGTGGTTGTATATAATATAATTTAGGGAAGAAAAGAAGAGAGAGGAGGGGAGTAAAATAATTCTAAATGATATATATAACCTATAGTTAACGAAGGGACGGTTGGGTAAGTAGGCAGGCAATTATATAAACGGTATTTACTAGGTAGATTGTAATAATAATAAAAATTAAACAATAGACTTAAGGACTACCTATTTTTATTATATAGACCGCCAAATTGGGTATACACGGTCGAATTACCTATATATACTCGAATGTATTGAATATACTGCCGTAAAACGGACCTCGTGCCTAAGCCGGTCGACCTTCCACCTATCGATTGACCTTCTACCTATCGATCTACCTTCCACCTATCGATCTACCCTCCGGTATATTATATAAAAATAACCGCTTAAATCCATCAGAGACCCTCTACTAGCAATATAAACGGAGTTCCACTTCGTTACAACCTCTCGCTATAATTAATAATATAGAGGACTCCGTAATTAAAGCCTCCTCTTATTCTTTTCCTAATATAGGACCTCCCTCTCGAAGGGAGAGAGAGGGTACCGAAATAGATTTATTTAATCCCGATAGATTTTTAAGTAATCTAGTCTCAATAAATATATTTTTAACGGTTTAACCGAATGAACGGGGATTAATAACGAAGCGTAGAAGGTTAATGCCTCCCGAGGAACAATAGACTTCTAAGCACTCCAATCCTAATAGACTTCTAAGTAGTCGCCGCTTCGTATATAATAGCTACGCTTTAAATAGTAATTTTCTACTACTAATAATCCGTTCGTATCGGAGAGGTCTAGGAATGGCCGGTTCTTATTGTAGTTAAGACGAAGCCTACCTCCGTTTATATAATAAAGGTATATATACTAGGGAGAGTATCTAGCTATACGCCAATTCGATAACGCACTTATATATTCCATTTAAACGAGTTGGCAATCGGCCTTTATTTGAACTATACTTATAATTACTACTTTATTAGGCGTAAGGTACTCGGCGGTCTTGGCCTTCCTCTGGGCTATGCCTATAGTTATTACCTTACTAGGCGTGAGGTATCCTAAACGGGTGGTTTTGGCCTTCCTCTGGGCTATGCCTATAGCTACTATTTTATTAGGCGTAAAGTGTTCGGCGATTTTGGCCTTCATTTGGGCTATTGGTATTATTCCAATAGGTCGGCGATTAATTCGTACTATAGTAGTAATAGAGACCGGCTAGCGGCTAAACTATTGGATGTTCTTATAAAGGCGCTATCGGCGATTAATTCGCACTATGGTAGTAATAAGGACTGGCTAGCGGTAGGATTGTTGGATATTATTATAAAGGTACTTCGGCGATTGATTTGTACTATAGTAATAGTAGGGAGAAGGTTAGTAAGGACAATATTAATATAATAGTATTACTACTAGTAGTTATAATATTATAAGAGATAAAAGTATTATTTGTTTTAGGGATAGATAAAGCGATATATAAAATAAAAAGGCAATCGTTTTATAAATATAAAGAAATAGGAAATAGAAAAGGGGTAACGTCCGTATAGGAATACGTATTAATTATATACTATCGAAGTCTCTTAAATATAAGCGAAGTGCCTAGAATCCGTAGTAGAATTATATTACTACTATTAGTATAAGAGGTAATATCTATTAAAGCCGCTTCCGAATAATATTGGTATAGTATTTAAATTGGGCCTTACTACCTTTCGTCTATATAGTAATAATACTAAAAGGACAATTGAATATTATACCCTATAATATTTTAACTTTTGATATAACTATATATATTAAACCAAACGCAAAGTCCGTCTTCAAAATATCTAGAACAGCAGTATTAATAATTATACCCTACGAATTATATACTATAATAGCATAAGCAATAGTAATAGGGAACTATCTTTTAATATAATGAGTAGATCCTTTTATAAAATCCTAAATAGAATGGAAGATAGGTACAATATTAATATTAAAACCCTCCTATTTAAAATAAGGAGGATTAGTATAGTTAGGAAAATACAATAATAGAATATAAGGCGGTACTTCCCTAGGGTAGTCGCTATAACGCTAAATAATATTATAAATAATATTAATAGTACCGTTAACTAAACCATTGTCGGTCTAAATATTCTTTATAAGTATAATTTCAATACTAATAGTTAGGGGTAATTACTTATAGAGGTTATTAGTATAAATAGATTCTACCTCGATAATTCTAATATTAGTATAATCGGTATATATTTAAATAACTAGGGCGCCGAAGCATTTAGGGTAGTTTTGGTTATATTCTCTAATTTGGTTATTAATTGGGTATATACGCAATACGTCCTCGAAAATACTAAGATTATACCCTTCCTACTATAATTTAGTATTTATCCGTATAGATAGAAGCTCCTAATATTATAAAATAGGTTGTAAATACTATAGACCTTTCAATACGTTTCAAAACGTCGCCTATTTATTACCCCCTTAATAGACAATTTATCTTAATTCGATAGTATAATCGAAGTACCTAGTACGCTAACTTCCTAACTATATTTTTAGGTAATAATTAGGTATATAGCTTTGTATTAATTAAGGCCTTTTCTATTATAGGAGGTAATTAGTAGAAATTTCCTATTAATAGAATACTCTTACTATTAAAGAAGATATTATTGTGATTAGGAAACGCTTACTTTAATTATTAATTTAAGAAGTATAGTATTTTAAATCCGATTATAGACTTTTCGTTTATAATTAAATAGCGTAAATAGTAAAGTTTTAGTTATAAAGACGCTGGATTATTAGGGTTTAAATTTGGTAATATAGTACTAAATTTTAATACGGGCAGCCGGAGAAATAAATATAGTATAGAATTATTGATATTATTAACCGCTATACTAGTAGGAGTAACTAGTATAATAATAGGAAGCCTTTATTCGTTTATATAGTAATAATTATGGGGCCCAACTCTTCTAATCGAATAGGGAGTAATCGGATAATATACAATTTACTAATATTACCCTTACTATGTAATTGTATCCTTAATAGCGGAGGATTATTACTATAAAGAAATACTTAATAATATTTGATAAATATATTATAAATAAAGTATTATTCGGAATTAAGACCGTCTATTATAATACTAGTAACTACTTCGGCCTTAAATATATTTGGATAATTAACCTTTATACCTTTCTAAAAGTCCGGGATATTCGCTATAATACTATTATACAATCTATAGTAAAATTACTAATTATATTCGAAATTAATAGAATAACGGTTAAGACAATTAATATCTTCGTCGGCGCTTATAGGCCGGTCTAGGGCTTCTTATACTATACGTATCTAATCTTCTTATTATATATCCTTTTAAAGTAGTATAACCTTAATATTATCTTTAGGCGGTAGTTCGAACGACTTTCCATAGTAATTATATTTATAGTAGTTATAAATTTCTTAATAGCGGTTATATAGTTCGGACTAAGGAGTATATTCTACCCCGCCGATTAACTTTAAATTCGTATTAAAACGATAAGGGTAGTAAAATATTATTTTAACCTAGTAAAAGTCTTAATAAGTATCGGATATAATATCCCCCTTATATTTTAATATATATTTTAATATATAGGGCTTTTTATAGAAACGCTATAGCCGAATAGTTTAATTAGTATAGATATAAAATTAAAAGTAAATCAATTCGGCGAACTAATTACTATATTAAAGATATTTATTATATTAGGTAATATAGCTTCGCACTTCGTTATTAATACTAATAATAAAACAATTCTAATCTTCCTTAGGCTAATAATCTATGAACCGGACTACTTTTATACCCTTATATAAAGGTAAATAAAAATAATAATAATAAACCTCCTAAATAGACTAATCTCTTTCTAATAGTACTTTATTTATAAATTTAATAATAAATAAGAGTAATAGCTTACGGCTAGAAATATAAAGTAGAATTTAAAATATAAATTATTAGTAGGATAGAAATTTCGTTTCTACCTTCGAATAATATTTAGTAATATAGTAAAGGACGGTTTAAACGCTAATATATAGGGAGATATCGGTATTAGCTAATCAGCCTAATAACATAGTAGGGTTCTAACTATTGATATTAGTATTATTACGAGCAATATTAAATATATTATATAACGGATTAAATCTATAAGTAATATATAGGCGGTCGTATATTTACTAGGGAAAATTGAAACGGTATACGGGCTCTAAAGTTATTGAACTATCGGGGAGTTTATAACGCCGTAGATAATATATTGTATTATATTAGTATTAATTTATATAATTAATAATATAGGATAGTATAGCGAAGGTTAATTACTCGTACTCTCTTATATAGATAGTTAATAAATTGCCTTCGGCTATATTAGTAGTTCGATAGGGCTCTAAATTAATAGTTATAATATAAATACCCTAAAAAGTAATAAATACATCTTTACTATAGGCAGTTTCGAACTCAATTTCGGGTATACTACTATATTTATAAAAACTATAATTATTAGGATTATCGCGGGCTTACTATTTATATTAGGCCTAGTAATTGATAATACGAAATTTAGGTATAAGGATATATTCCCGGAATACTTTGTACCTCTTTCAAAAAAACTCTATACTAATTATTAGATTATTATAAAATTCTCCTAAGTAAATTTACTATATTTATACTTACTATTATTTAAATATTTATTATACTGAGGTATAAGTTTAATTAAAGACCTCTAATGTACGTCGGTGGGTATAAATATTATAAAGAAGGATAATATATTAAATTTATAGATAAATACTCTTAATATTTACTTTTTAGCTCCTTAATATAATCGGGTACTATATAAAGTATTTATATACTTTATAATAGATTAGAGGATCTATTCTCCTTAATCCGTATAATTTTTAAGAGTAGCCCCAAAATCTTTAGCCTATAGATTACTATAGCCGGGGTTACAACGAATATAGAAAGAGTTCTTTTAATTAACCTAATTATATATTAGAGTATTAAAGGTAATGAAACGGAATTATGGGTAGCAAATAAAGTAGCCGTCCTTCTACTTTATGATATATTTAATATAATTATAATATATTATTTTATAGAGACGTTGGGCTAAAAAGTTAATTTAGCTTCGAAGGTAGAAGGTTAGGAATATTTAGGAAAGTAATAGTTATAACTAATTAAATTTATTGATAAGGGTAAGTCTAATAAAGCCTATTATCTACATAAAACTACAAACTCGCCCTTATTAATTAAGGCCCAATAATTTATAGTTCTAATTCTTATATTAGATCTAACTTTAATTTTAATACTAGGGGTATAAATAGAAGATTAGGATTAAAAGTACGGGCAAGCTAAATAGCCGAGAAAATAGAAGGATTCAAAACTATTAGGGCCGGGTTTAACGCTAGAGTAAAATGTAAAAGAAGTTTAGGACTATATATAGGACTAATATTAATATATTAAAGAGGTAGATATTTAGATTGCTACCCTTACCTTTATTTATTTAGTTAGTTAATAAATTAATTAAACTGGGTTTAATTACCTATAAGGTTTAGTATAGCGACTACTTCTTTATTATTAATATTAATTATATTATTTTTATTAATTTTAATATTTTCTTTAAGAATATAAGGAGTAAATCGATTAAAGACGTTACCCTCCTTTGGGAATTGAGAAAAACGAGTCTAATCGATAATAATATTATAATACCCGGGGTAATTCTCTATTAAGTAGTTTAGCTATATCTAAACACTCCGCCTATTAATATAATAATTATATTAAAATTATTTCCTAATTTATTCCTAGTTATTTGTATTTCGTAAGTAAAATATAATAATATAAAACTCTTCTAGGAAAAGAGGTAGACGGTTGTATACTAAATTAATATTTCGAAGAAAATTAAAAATATAATTATAGTACTAATATTAAACCCCCCTAATAAAATAAACGTTAATATAAATATAGACCCGGGCAATCAACTACTCTTCAACGGGGGAAAGTTTAGGTAGAGCCGGATTTATATTACTAAAGTCTTTAAAATTCTCGGCGAAGTAAAACAGTACGTCTGTAGGTCTTTATTTTTTCCGCCTATTTATATAATATTTATATATACTACGCTTAAAATGTAAATCCAACTATTATTTATAGTATAAGATATATTCTT